ACAAACATTGTTTAGATATAACAATTACATTTTGGACGTGGAAAAGTGAATTTATACAATGCGAAATATATTTTTTATATATTCAATCAAGATAGCTATTTTATTTAGACAGATACTATTGAACGTACGACAGTAAATAAACAAACAGACTCTCTCCTTCCTTTCTTACACCTTTTTACTCTTTTCCTTTGTTCGATCTTAGTAACCGTTTACCTCTCATTATACGCCTCCACCACCAGTGTCTCACATATCTATATTTCTTATTCTCTCTTTTTCTTTTCTGCTTCATCTTCTACTCCTGTTTATTTTTATGCTACTTATCTTTTACTTTTGCTTAAATTTAGCACAATCCTCAGATTTTTAATATTTCTCTCTCCCCCACACGCCCACAAACACACAGACACCCCCCCCTCACAGAGACTCTGTTATTGTAATTATGTGTATGTATTGTAATTACACATAAGTCACGTAAGTATAAAAGTCCAGGAGACATAACTTTAGGTGTATTTTTATAAATAAATCATCCAATCTCTCTCTCTCTCTCTCTCTCTCTCTCTCTCTCTCTCTCTTTCTTTTTTCTCTCTCTCCCCCTCTTTCTCTCTCTTTCTTCTCCATTTCCTATCTATCCCTACATCCCACTCTCCACTGCTTGTATTAATCTGTCCTCTCCCATTTACCTCTCTATCACACACACACACACACACACACACACACACACATTCTCTCTCTCTCTCTCTCTCTCTCTCTCTCTCTCTCTCTCTCTCTCTCTCTACACATTTAAAATTGGTCATTCTTCTTACAAAAACTAAATTATCATAAAAAAGAAGCTTGATATTACATAAGCATACGCCTATGGAATAATCATCTCGTTAATTTTAAATGGAAATTAATAAACTTTAAAACTTTATTTATCGTATATTAAGAGTGTACTTATGCACAATTACTGAAGAACTGGTGAAATATAGCAAACATGGACGGTTCAGGTACGGTAAAACATTAATAAAAGTGCAGTAAAAAATATCCATTTTCTTTATTTTGCGTAATTTTATAATTGTCGGCGAAAATAGACCAGGCAGGACTAGGTAAGGTCAATTTTTTTTATTGTTATAATTATTATGAAGTTTGTATCCTCATTAAAACAATTTGAAGTGAGCTTACTGCGACTGTTCTTCGAATTACACAAAAATAACGCGGAACCATCTAAATTTTATGGGACATCTCACATTGCATGGCAACCGTACCGAAGATCATGCCGGGTAATGACTCATACTTCTTCTGACTTCTGAGACTTCTGCCTGTTTTTAATATTATTCTTAACTATTGATCGAACCGGAGCCGACCAGAACTTTGACCCGTAATTATATTAATGAACGATATTTTTATGTTGGAAGAAACGCTTTACCATACAAATGTGTATATCAATCGATGCAACTGCATTGGGAATTTAAAATCTACAAGTGGAATGGAACAAAAACAAAAGATCGACTTTCTATCAGTCGATAAAAGCAAGAGAACGTGTTTCTCCTCTGTTGGACAAATGGATCATTCGTATTGTCGGTGGAATTTAAACCCTTTCAAAAATCGAGGAGAAAGCATTTCTTTTGTGTAAAATATAAATAACTTTGAAAATACCTAACTGTATGAAGCAGTATTGCATTCTAAAATCAAAAACCTAGAACTTGTATAGGTCGTATTTATTAATTATAAAATTATCCTTGGCTTTGAATAAAGTTTTTCTATGAATTTTTTTAACCAAGTGTATTAATTATTACTAATCAGAAATATAAACGGGATTATTCGGTTGTTGCCATTAATAGATTTACATAAGTAGTATAAAAAGTATTTCCAACCCATTTATTTGCAAAGTTTTTCCAGAAGTCATTGTCCGCAAACGTTTTATATGCTAGACTTAATTAAACGGTGCTACTAGTGAAAAATTTGTTCCCTTAACGAGGATACACAACAGCAGAGGTCATAACAAATATCTACCCTCCGGCTGCCGGTGTTTTAAAAAAAAAGCTCCTTTGTAAGTCGGGTTCGAATGCAGGGCCTCTGGATTCGAACCCGGAACCTTTACCTTACAGTGATGAGCGCCGTGAACCGTTGCGGACACCGACGGCCCCAGTGAAAATGTCGGTGACAATTCGACCGTTTCGTTTTCTTCTGACCAAAGCCTATCATCGCTGCTTTAAAATTTCATCTAATAACTGCTAAAGACAACGAAATGCCGAAACTCGTCTGATGGATTTAACCAACTAGGAAAACCAGGTTGATTAGAATGGTCAAACCATACCAGTCATACTATCTGATGTTCATTTTAACAATTTCAAAAAGACATCAGTGCCACTTGGTTGAACTTGTAAGAGGTGTACACTGATTCAAGTTAATAAACTATTGTTAGTTGATTTAAAAAATACATACAGCTCATAGGCCCAATGCCATCTTCAGAATACAACACTTAGGCTTTAATGTGTATTGTCAGATTTACCAACTGGATGTAAATCATTCCTTCGAATAATACATCCGCTGAGATGGTGTAAGATTTATTATTACAATTAGATATCATTCGGAATAGGTACCTAAGCATGAAACAGACCAAGTCAGTTTGACTCCAGTTATTCAAACATTTCAGTGTATTGTATGTAGTGAAATTGAATCATACATCTTACCACCCACAATGCAATGGGGAAATAAAGACTGCATCCAACCATAAAAACTGCTTTAAACACGTGTAATACATTAGAACCGTCTTCCTTTGAATAATAACAAATGCAAGATAATTAAATTTACTAAAAATATCCTACTTTGTAACTTTGATTGTTTTGATTATTTCGTTGATGGGCAGAGATCGGAAGAAGTTGACACCATCTCCAACCTTGGTGTTGTTTTCAACCGAAAAGGTGATTTCAGTGACCATATCAAACAAAGTCGAGGTAAGGCTGTAAACAATCTTGCTTTTATTACTAGGGTTTCTGGAGATTTTAAAAATGTCTTGGCAGTTAAAATATTTTATTAAAATATTAAACTATATCAATCCCTTGTGCATAGCCATCTGGAATACGTAAGTGTCGTCTGGTCCCCTTTCAAAGTTGGTGAGATTAGCGACTTAGAAAAAACAAAGGAAAGCAACCAGGATAATGGCCTTCAGATTTAGTCTTGCAAATCTGAATTACTTGGAAAGATTGAACTGGCTTGGTCTGGAGTCGCTTAGCTCCCGCCATATTTCTGCTGATCTCATTTGGAGCTGGAAATTGTGGAATGGAGTCCTTGATATCCAGAACTTTTATTTATCACTATGTGTGCCTAAGTGTTCAGCAACCACTAAGGAACCATAAATTGTTCTTGTCCCATATTGCAGAACAGAATATGGTCTAAACTCCCCTCTATCGAGGATAATGAGATTGCTGGATTGTTATTCCAATGAAATATATGTATTTCACAATTCCTTACACTCAGTTAAAGTTAAATTAAAATGTATACATGCCACGAATCCTTAATCCATGTGTCTTTGTCATTATTGTTTAATTACAAATTTGTTCCTTTTTGTTGTTTTTTTTACCACTCCTCTTGTAGATTCATTCTGTTGGAGTTATTAAAAAAAAAAATATATATATGAAATGAATCCTTTACTTTCCCAGTTGGTGTATGACGAGATAACTACCTGGTGAATTTTTCTGTGAACTGACTCAACCAATCGGAAGGGCTAGTCACAGATTTACAACACAACTTGAGTTACAAGAAGTATATGTTGACTGGAAGAAGAAACTGGTGGAACATACTATGAATGTTTAGGTTCTGTACTTTCACGCAGTGATACATTATTTTATATGAAAATCCACTTAAAAATCATCCACTTCAGTGCATCAATCAACACAACCTCCAGCAGATGGTGGATCTGATCCAATGTTTACTCCAAACCTCAAAATAAGCCCAAAATTGTGCCGCTTTAGAAACAATTCATACATGAAGTGGAACAGTTCATTTTCCTAAACATTTTTGCATCACGTATTAAATAGGTAATCAGTTAGTTTCATACTAATATAGTTTATTCAATTAATTAAGGTTTTGGTTGAGATAAAAAAAGTAAGTGTCACAAGTGGGATTCGAACCCACGACCTTCAGCTAAATACACCACTGCTCTACCACTTGAGTTATCACGACTTTGATCCGCTCAGACACCAACTTCCCATCTCAACCTCACCTTTTTTGAATTTTCCCTCCTTTTTGCCATTTTTTTAATCTCAACCAAAACCTTAATTAATTGAAAAGAATTTAATTGATCAAGTGGACCACAAAACCTAATAAATCTAATATAAAGTGTTAGAGTGAACAAGGAAAAGCCAGGCCAGTCAACCTTACAGACCATACTATCGAGATCCAAGCTGCTGATGCTAAACGAGCAATAAAGAATATGGTAAAGAAAAAGTTGCACGTCAGTGAATTGGATTTTCCCGAAAGTACATGTGCATCCAGACAGTCGCAGAAGAAAAATTATCCTAAACTTAGCACAATTCAGAATCAGCCATACATGGTTGACACACATTCACTTATTTTTTGGGTCTGAGTTGCAGAGAAAGGTTCTAATAAAAATAATGCAATACTCAAATTCAGCTAAACAGACAAGAATAGTTTTTGATTATTCAGTAAGCATGTAAGAATGTAAATACATAAAAATTGAAGGAAATTTTAAAATTTACATAATTACTTTAAAATAACTTAATATTTTATATTGTAGCAATTTATACAAATTAAGATTTTCTATTGAATAAGGGGTTGGAATTAAATGTAATCATCTGAGTATATTTTGTAAACTTTTTATTAATTACATTATTATATAAACACTGATTAATTATTTCATGAAATAAAATTTACAAGAGTTTTCATTCATATGTATCATGTATCAATCATAAAATAAATATGATGGAAAACTTTATATAAATAAGTACTAATTATGAGTATTATATAGATTAGTTTAATAATTAAACTAAATCTAAAATATATACACAGTCAACAAAATAGTGTAATTTGACTCTTTCTTTCTTTTTTTTCTCTTTTTTTTCAATTTTTAACTAAACCATCCAATTCCAATGTGTTATTTATCCATTTATCATAGCCCACAGCAGCTTCCACATGATGGAGGACTCTGTACAGACCCGAGCCCATGTATGTTTCCACCAGATGGTCGGCCACCAGGTCTGAAAAATTATTTGATTAAATCTTTGATACAAAATTTGTCTTCTGACAAGTTACCTTGGCCCTCTTGGACCATTTCCCCAGCCTCCCCAGCCGCCGCTTCCTCCTCCACCACCGCGGCCCCCACCACCAGAACGGAAATTGGATCGGTTGCTGCTTCTGTCATCAGTAAATCCGGGTATCAAAGTCTGAAAGCTAAAAACAAAATGATTATTACTTCTCCACCAGCACCAGGTGTTGTTAAAAATAAACTTACAAAGCTGTAATCAAATTAATCACACCCCAAAATATGACAACGAGCTTTGCCACTCCCCAGGGCATACTTTCTGTCACAGTACCATCTAAAAATATGACAAAAAATATAATACATTTATTCTGGGTTCTTTATAAATAAAAACTCAAAATTATTGCATTTAACAGACAAAAATTTCAGGTCAAACACTTTCACAATATTATAAAGGCTTTATCTGTACTTTACTACTCATACATCTAACCTGTCCGTATATTTATACATCTGCACATTTATTCACATATGGATGTTATAACTTAATATAACTTAAAATGAGACAATTTTTGTTTAAATACAATTACAATTTTCATTGTTATCATTTAAAAAATAAAATAAAAATTCCCTGTATCATAAAATTACACTTAAAAGAGAGAGAGATACTGGATAGTTCCTTCAATGAGCCATAAGATGAAATTCTACCAAATAATGATAATGTAGCGGATGGCAAAAACATTTTTTTGGAGTCCCTGAAGATATATTTGAGGAACTTTCTACTGATTATGACAAGCTTACATTGCCAAGGACTGTAACAATGCTAAGAATGAAAGCCGTTTGTTAGGACTGAGTCGTTCTTCAAAGAAATTTGAGATCACCTGTAAAAAATTTAAATATGTCAACGTGTAGACATATTTAAAATTTCTTTCCCTAATGAACACCTTAAAATAGGTCGAACGCTTGGCAGTAACAAATGAATTTGCTTTTTTCTTCAAGATCATACCTTGGTCCTGCATGTTCGAGAGTAAAAAAGTGGTCGATAGTTCTAATGTGTGTTCTAATGGATTTAATAAAAAAAAAGTCATTTTTAATATTATGGGTCGCACATGACCTAGAGATGCTGAATTTGTCAGTGGTTTAAAGGGTGTTGGAGTACTGTATCTCATCTTTCTTTAAAAAAGGTAGTTCCTATTCACAGTAAGTAGTTCTTTTTTTCTTTTTTTTATGGATTGAACACCGCACTCACTCCATCATTCATCATTTCTAGTACTGTGTCTGGTGCATTCTGTTGTAGAAGGCCTCAGCTCCGCTATATGTTTACTCTTGACGAGTATATAATTTTTAAAAAAATTGAAACTACTTGAGAATTTGCTCTATTTCAATAATTTTCCTTAAGGAACTCAATAAACTTATTGCCCTGTGGGTGGAAGGGTATTCTTGGGCGTTACCATATTTTCTATTAAATTCAATCTTTGATGTTTTCCATATGGTTGGGAAATTCTCCTTCTGACCATTGATTTCTATATTCATGAATTTTGCCTGCTCGAAGAACACATCATCATTAAGTCATTACTTAACAATTGATTGATGTTCTTTAGGCTGACGTGGTATTTAAGGCATGTCAAATTTAAGCGTTAATACGTACAAAATATGTGTTTAAATTACATACCTCTTGTGACATATGCCATGATTGTAAATCTGAACAAACAGACGAGGAAGAAACTATAATTCGCGTTGTTTCTTTGATTTTGAAGAATGACAGTTCTGTAAAGAGACTTCAGATCTGGACTGTTACCTCGGAGTAATGTTATAAAACATGACGATTGAAGCCCACATCAACTACGTGAAAATAAAACCTGATATCGATTTTATAATTTTTTTAAATTTATTTAACAACGGGCAGCCCCTTTTTATAATATTGAAATCTTGAAAAACATGTGAATTGGACATTGGAAGATTGGGGTTCTTTTTACAGATGAGATGAAAGTTGGCCTCAAATCTTCAGATGGTAGTAATTTTAGTAATTTTTCGTACGGGGACGCTCAGGAGAATGGTACACCCTATGGTGTATGGTTCTTCAGGTGGCGTACCAGGGTGGGTCGTTGATATTCTGGGATGGGATATATTTGACGATTGCGGGGAAGATCTCTAACTTCACTACTTTCAAAACATAATCTATGAATATGTAGTGTGTTTTGCCCCCACATCGGATAGAGTCGAGAGATATTTGCTAATGCTGGATAATGCCAGGCCCCAAAGATCACCTATTGTGTATGACTTCTTGAATTATGGAATTGAGAGTGTAGCCAGCTCGAAGTCCAGACTTGAACCCAATAGAACGAATTTGGGACCAATGTAAACGACGACTAAACCCAGTTCCTAACACCCAAGAAGAGTTGGAAATGTCTGTTCCTGATGAATGGGAAAAAATTAGTTTTATCAGAAATAATTTCAAGGAAAGTTCGTAAAAAGGCGTTTAATTCGTGCCAGAGGTAGAACTCTGTATTAAAGGGGACAAAAAAGTTTTTTTTTTACATTTTGAATTTTCTAATTGATTTGTTAGGATTAGGTAATAAACATTTTCTTATTAAAAGCCTTATTTTTACAACCAAGCTTATCTTTGTTATGGAAAATATGGAAGCACCTAAATACATTAAAATTTAAGGGTGGTGCGTTAATTTTGGTCCATCAGTGTAATAAATAAATACTCTCGACTATCATTCCTTCATTACAACTATAGAAGGGACTAGTTTTGTACATTTTACCCAAAAGATGAGGTACACAGAAGGGAATTTAATTTCAAACGGTAAAATGCCCAAAGATAGAGGAGCGTTGATCGAGCGTCAAGAATCGATTCCTTTATTTTATTTTTATTTTCAATATATAAGTCCAGTGAACTGAATTTTAATTATTTGAACCAATTAAGTTTAATAACAGCCTCCGAAAGAAAGTCCATCGAAGAAGAAAAGCGCCGTTTTATGTGGATCAACGTCGTGGGAAAGGACTTTCTGCCAGCTTTCTCGCATTCGACAACGGTAAGCAAAAGGCGTGAGAGTTCACGTCATTTCGAGATTCACTGGTTTTCCCTCGAGTCCAAAACTCTTTTTTGGGGGTGTTTTAGTCCAATTTTTCATCTCTCGGGGCCCGGCCGTTGCACATCCGCAGTTTCTTATCATAAAGGGTGAAATGTTTTCTTATTTTAACTCAATATTGACTTGTTTTGATGTTTAGTTGACGTAGCAGCACAACATGTTTACATTGATGACATGCCACTTCCAGATTTTTAATTTTCGAATCAAAATCATATAAAATCTCTATTACTTTTTATGTTCAAAAAGCATCAGTAGGTATAACAGAAATGTACATAGGAATCCTGTGGCGATCATTACTAAAAAAAAAATTGTGATTATTACGGTTTTATCTCTATACAAGCACTATCATGATTTCTAAAATTACAAAATTTCATCAATGATGACAAACGTAAGGATAGGTGTTCAATAAACATTGTATAAAAGCAGGATTTCATCATTGACTTACACTAGTACATTACAAAACAGCTGTCCAAAACCTAAAAAATATGATAATTCTCACTGTACTCAGATTAAGCCAAATAATAATAATAATAGAATATGTCGCTGAAGTCTCAAAACGACAGATTTTCGGTGAACCCTTTTGTGCTCTTATTGGAAAGACGTTGTGAGTTGGGGGGGGGTCTTGGAAAAACGATAACAGTTGTCTGGGTACTCGGGCTGGAGGGCAACACAAACTTTAAACAATGCAGTGTCATCTGAGACATCTCACTATTATGATCCGGCCCATTATGAATGTTGGTAACATCAGTGGTGATGGACTGAACGATGGCCCTCTGGAAGTCTGAACCAGAAGGAAAGGATCATGCTTTCCCGATTAAGGATAGGACATACCCATCTACCACACGGACCCCTGGGTCAAAACTCATGCAGGTGTCCCGTTTGTAGAGAAAGACAGCTCTGCATTATATAGTATATAGAGAGCATGTAGGACTGCCACCCGATATGAGAATTGTTATCTAGGAGTTATCTAGTTCCCCTATTCCAATTTTAGTAACAGGACTTTTTACTTAATACAGAATTCTATAGATATTTTGTTTCATGTTTCTTGTGAATATTTACACTAAATGTATTTATTAGCGCGAATGTTTAGTAAGGAGGGTGACGGAGGAATGTCAAGTACTCCACCAACCTAATTGAGTGAATGGCATGAAAAATAGGAAAGAATATACTTAAGAGTGAGTGAGTTTGTATCTATAAACTATTGTGTTGGAGGCTGAAATGACCTGAATGTTGATAGACACTGGAGCTCAACCACTGTATGACAGAGCCAGCATGTTTCTAAGTTTTTTCCATGTTTTTTGGCATTCGAAAAATAAATCACTTCTCCAAGGATACCCAAATATTAAAGCGAGTGATCAAAAGAAGCCTGTGAAATCACTGAAGCTGTTCATACCATTTGAAATTGGTTCCTAGACCTATTTTGAACATTAATTTAAAATTACCAAAAGGAAAATATACCAGTGGGCTTTTTTCTGTCCAGGTTCACTGATGACCAAAGTCTTTCTATATTCCACTGCAACCTAAATGATCTATTGTGGAATTAGCTGTTCTTTTATTATTTCAAATCTAGAAAAGTACACTACCCTTAAGGCAGTTTAGCACTTTCCAAGGCTCTCACTTGCTTATTTCTTTAAAAGCTGTAATGGGCCAATGATTTGCAATTATAAAGGACATTGTCTGATGTTTCCACCTCTTTATGGATGACTAAAATGCTTATTATTTTTCTTAGTTTTTTCCTCATGAAAAAGAATTGAATTTTGGTTTACCAGGTCGAGATGTTAAGAAATTGATTGATTTGTACCTGGAAATTCATCCAGTATACAGTCATTTCTTTTTACATTCATTTGAGGGTGGCAAGTAGTTTTTCAGATTGTTCATTTCCTTTAATCCCTTCACGTCCTGGTACCCAATAGGAGTTACTGATCACGATTTCCCAGTAGCTGGAGATACATTAGGCATTCCTAGATCAGATTTGAATTGAAGGTGGCAAAGTCTAAAGTCTTCAGGCTGCTTGGCTGTCTGAGAATATGTATAGTTGTGTCTTAGTACCTTTTAATCATTTTTAATATTTCTTAGGGGTGGTAAAAAATATCTTATTTGTGTAATTATTTATTTATTTTTTCATTAATAGATATGGCCCACGCTGGTAGTACATCTCGTAGACATGATGGTTCTATCACAACAACCAGAGGTTTTGTTGAAACTGACTGGGAAGCCAAAGAGGCGCTTCGCCAGCGAGAACTTGAAGAGGCTAGAGCAAGAGCAGCTCAAATGGAAAAAACTATGAGATGGTGGTCCGATTGTACTGCAAATTGGAGAGAAAAATGGAGCAAAGTATGTATAAATTGAAAATTCTACAAGAATTTAGTTCTTAATCCAAAGTTTGTTTTGTTTTTTAGGTTAGGAATGAAAGAAATAGGGCGAGAGAAGAAGCCAAACTACTCCGTTCCAAACTCGACTCAGCAATAAAAGATACATGCATGTATAAAAGGGAGAAAATGGAACTGGAATCGCATAATGAACAAATGAAAAAAGAGCTTGAACGAATACATTTACTATTATTGAAACATGCCGGCCAATGGGACAATCAATTGTTACTAGAAGCTTTAGATACGACGGAATCAGATAGAGAGCCTTTTCTACCTGAAAGAGAGGAAGATATAAACAGTTGTTCTGACATTGATCGTATCCCTGAAAAAGATTCAGGCGTAGATGACATGAGTAATCTAGGTGCCAGTTCAAAAAATGGAGAGACTGATAATAAATGTTCCACAATGGAGACTGTAAGTTGTGTTTTCTAGTAATTTATTAACTTCTTTACTTATTTAATATAATTTACATAGGTTAGTACAATAATGTGTGGGGACATTGATTCTTGGACTGGTGATGGTGATGAAATTACTTTCTGTGGCAGTGTCAAAGGGCAAAAAAAAGATGATTTAGAGAATAACGATGTAGAAATGATGTATCAAAAACTGTCCATGTTACAATTAAGACTTGATGAAACTACAAAAACCTTACAAGTAGAGCGAGAGTAAGTTGTTTATGAACAAAGACTCAATATATATTTGTATGTTTACATATGTGTTTATTTTACAGGGAAAAGTGTAATTTGATGAGAACTGTTGAAAGATCGGAAGAAGAGCTTCTTGAATGTAAACAGAGGTGTGAAGAACTCCGTGCTTCCAGGCAAGAAGCAGTGAGGGAGCTGTTACAACTACAAGATCAACACCAGGACACCGTAGCTTTAATAAGGGCAGATCTTCTCGATGAGGCAACGTCTCGAGAAGGCATGGATCGAAGACTTGCTGAATTAAGAGCACAAGTAGGTACAAGTGCATCAATGTAAATACTTTTTTTAAAAATATTCTATTAAACCTTTTTATTTACAGTTAGAAAGACTTCAAGCAGAAAATGCAGCAGAATGGGGCAAGAGAGAAAGGCTAGAAACCGAAAAATTGGCATTGGAGAGGGAAAATAAAAAGTTAAGGGCCGATCTCAGAGATGTTCAAGAGAGACTTGAGAGGCGAGGTCGTCCTGTAACAACTACCGATAACGATTTGAGGCATTTGCAACAAGAAGTTTCTGACAAAGCAAAGGTATGCCATAGATTTTAATTTATTCACGATTAAAAATAATTTCTGGATTTTAAAACGATTCAGGAGTTGACCGATATTAAACACAGCCATAATAAGCTTAAAAAGGTGGTCACTGATAAAACGACGGAGTTGGCCCATACGACTAGAAGGGCAGAACAGTACGAGGCTGAGGTTAAAAGGCTGAGAACCAGAGTCGAAGAATTGAAACGGGAGCTTGCAGTTGCTGAAGATGAAGTTGATTCGGCCACTAATAATTTAAGGTTATTACTTTTAATTTGTTTTAATATTTATTTACTATAAAATTATACAACAATGGTTTCTTTCAATAGAAAAATGCAAAGGACGAATGACGAACTTCAAGAGCAAGTGGAAAGCCTTCAAGTTCAATTGCAACATTTACAAACAAGGTACATACATTTTATTACAAATATGCATTTATAACAAAAGTATACAAAAAAATCATATAAGTAAATTATTAACCCACATCGGGAGAGTTTATTGAAAAGAAATAAATTAAGTCATATTTCTACCATTTTAATAATAAAAAAAGCAAACCCCATTTATTAAATAAAACAGCTCTCTAGTACTTAAAAATGATTTTTTTTAAATGTTTACCAAAGTTTAATTGGATAAAATGCGTTTTCAATCATTTTTCCTTTATTTTATGTATTTCCTTAAATTTTATCTCCCCCCCCCCCAAAAAAAAAGAAGATGTTTTACACTTAATGTTATAGAAAGCAAAGCACATGGTTTTTCACAGAATAATTAAAAAATCATTTCTAGTTGGAAAACTGGAATAAAGAACCAGTACCACTTTTATTCTTTTTGATGCAGGCTGTGTCAGAAAGACGGTTGGCATGACATACATGTTGCATCTTACGCTGTCAATGAGTTCTTCACTATTCAGGTTTTACCAATTAATAAGGCGTATAAGTTCATTCTTAAAATGAAAGGTGAATGAATTTATCTAGTTATGAGCAAAAATAGAACAAATAGATATAAAATGTTCTATATCCTATGACTTTATTAAATTTGATAAGTAGCATAGTCTCTGCTTCAAAAAGTCATAAGGCTAAGTTTTGCTTCTGCCTTTCAAAATCGACTGTATACCGTGAAAAAAAAATCCATTTTTGAATATTGTGATTCCTGTCATGCAGGAGGTTTAATGTCCAACTATCTGTTGGGTTGCCATAGACGAGGGTTCAAACCACTTTACAATTTTTTTTCTTCATATTATTCTCATAGTCTGTGCCAGGATATATGATATTGCGATTTATATAATCATAGATTGTCACAAATCCACAGAATTCTAACAGATAGATTTATTCGTTTCACAAATCCTTTGAAATGTCACTTAAATTTAGCAGTATAATTAACTCTTCTGCATTATCCACAATTTTGATAGAGTTGTATTTACTGATGCACCACACAAAAAATCCTCAATGTTGCCGAAATGGGCTTGTCAATATCATTGACCCTGTGTAACTATTTTTCTGATGTACAACCTGTGTCCTTCTATTTAGAGTTTTTTCAACTCTCCTACCACTCCTCCTGCTCCACAATTCCATTTGAAATGACTAAGACTGCGTCAAAAAGGGTAAAAGTGGCACTGGTTCTTTATTCCAATTAGAAACAATTTTTTTAGTTATTCTGTGAAAAACCATGTGCTTTGCTTTTCTGTAACTTTAAGTATACATTTTTTTTTGGGGGGGGGGATCAAATCTGTGTTACTTTGAACACTGTCTCATTAATTTGGACAAAAACTATTTCCAGGTGATTTTAAATTTAAATTTAAATTTCCATGTTATACGCTGTTATTGAATGAAACATTTAAATAAACAAGTACATTTGTTGTAACCTAGTATATTTTATCTTTAACATATTCCTTAAAAAAAAGATTTATTTAATCAGTCTAGATATAAAAGGGTAACCTTGATCTCAATTATATCTTTGTGAGAGAAGTGCTTGTTATTAATGATAAAAATAATGAATGATTAATTTTATATCATTAATTACTAGTAAATTGAAAGGTGTGTTTTATTTTTAATATGAATTTTTTTTTGTCTGTTTGTGCTGCCCTTGTTTGGATGTAATTAATTGGTAATTTAGAAGTGACGATATAGCTAATGTTAATGTACCTGCAGCTGAATGTTAATTTGTATTAGGCTAATAAATTAACAATAAACATATCAGTAACATAATTTTAATATTCCTCCAATGCTTTCTCTTTTATTAACATTTTATCAACTTGATTACAATTTGATTTAGAATGAGAAATGCCGTTGGAAACCATCGCAGCCCGAGCATCCACCAAGAGGAGGAGCAAAGTGATGAAGATGTCTACTAAACATTCCAAATAGTTCTAGTTTTGTTGGCTAAGTATCTTTATATTATGTATTATCTTGTTTACATGTACATATTTAGGGTTATTAAAAAAAAAGGAACGTTATGTTTTAATATATTTATTCGCACTACAGCTTATATAGGATATAAACCAGAGTTAAGACAAAGAGTGAATCCCATTTAATTGTTTTTATTATTTAATTAACTATAGAATTGTTTTGGTTACTGAAAGCTGTGATAAGTTATGTTAGTTTATTTACCAGTTAATAGAGACGCAAGAATTTTTACATTACACATTTTACAATAATATAATCAATCAGGACCCATCAGCCATCCTTCTATGTACTGGGATAGAAGAAAGTTGGAAGGAATATAAGCCCCTAATAAGCTCCGCACTACCCCCCGGTCAAGCCCCTACCTGGGGTCGGATTGCAGACTCACCCCGCTACTGCATACTTATCTTTATAATCTTTATTTTAGAGCCAGAGGATGTGGATAAAACCATTAACAATGTCATAAATAGACCACCTTATGGAAAAGTCCACATCCTCAAGGGTCTGGGGCATATGTGCCCAGAGATCCTGTGTGTCCCTCTGACCAGAAGAACATCTAACAGAAGGCTCTCACCTGCCGAAGAGGTTAATTGATAAAGTTAACAGTAAGAATTCATTTTTGTTATGAAATAAGTACATGCTTTTTTCCTCTATGTTTTACGGGGGTTCGCAACAGAAGAGATCATTTCATCCACTTGAGTGCTGGTGTTAAAAAAAAATGTAAGTATGTTACAGTAATTAGTAATCGTGTTAACACCTTAATTATTGTGGTCACTGATGCATCCCATAAAAAATATGTTATTGTCATAATTTCCTTCAATTATGAAATTTTATGGTGTCAGAGGATTGACCTGTTGCTTTTTCCATCTCTGATCATCCTGATTTTTGTCTATCAGTCATGAGTCAGAATTTTATTGTCTTCAGTTGGGTTAAGTTATTTTCGTTTAAAGTGATAGATGTATCAACCACTTTTTTATTCACGAGAACTCTGGATCTCTGTATGGTCTGGATGAAAAACTTATTCTACGCTTTTGACCCATTTTCCCCTGATGATGACCTTAAAATAGATCGGAAGCTTGGCAGTAACAATTGAATTTGTTTTTCATCCAGACCATATATAGATCCAGATTATTACTGAATTGTTTTGTCAGTTACTGCAAATTGTGAAAGAGGTGTATCGGCATGTTTTATTCTGTCATGAAAGACTCAGACAAGTCACAGAATAATGGTCAGAGATTTTTTTCTTTCACCACTATAACCCTTCAGTGGAGGGAGTGTATTGATAAGCTTCCTTTTTTATTACACGTTCTTGATCCTACTTTATACACATTTTGTACAAATAATTATATCAGTATCACAATATCACTTTTTAAAATTTACAAGTGTAACTAAATAATAACTAAAGTGTTTTTTTCCCATTGTTTACATCATATAACAATTTCCTTAATCATTTTGACTCTAGGACTGAACAATTTGATCATCACAAAGACGTCTATTATCTTAAATCAGTATTGCAGCCATGATCTGGGCCAGTTTAAAATGTATTCCCATATCAATTTGAAGTCTATTGTCTATGGTTGTAAAGAATTATTTTGTTTTCCGTTTGCCGTTTTCTCCACTTTAAATTTAGAAGATATCTGGTTTGATATTTATAAATTTACATTCAGCACAGCGGCTTCCTACGCTAACCTGTCTTTTTTTTCTCCCATATGAGCTCTTATCCATTATAGGTGTACTTCTCATCTCCTGTCTAGGTGTCACAGAGATTTCTAGATGTTTTCAACTAATGGATTATCATTTTTGAGGTCTTTTATTTAGTTTATAGTCACCAGAATGTCAGTCCTTATGATCTTCCATGTCTGTTGCAAACGTTTTTTCCATTCCACTGCTGTGTTCACTAAGAGAAGCTCTCCTTGATCATATGAGCTCTTTTTTTTTGGGACCAACACTGAATCCTGAAACTGGAAAACGAGGTCCTAGAGATTTTTATGATCGGGATTGTTTTTTTGATGATATTACCATAGTCGGACCTGACTACAGTAATATGTTCTATTGATCAGGCACCTTTTTATAATAAATGAAATATTCCAAATATTCAGTGCAAAACCACAACTAAAACAAAAATAGAAACAAAAGAAAATTCTTTATTTACTCAAATTTTATTCATGATATATTTCTTTGATATCAAAACCTATTGAAATGTAAAATTAATTTTGTTCTTTCTATTGGGTTGTCCGGAAAATAATGCAGGATTTTGGTATTAAACAAAAAAAAAGAAACTAGTTACTTTAAAGCAATGTTCTTTANTGACATTCATACAAATGAGTAATCCTGTAAACGTAAACAGAATATTTTATATAGATTTTTTTTAATGAAAACTTAAAATCCTGCATTATTTTCCGGACAACCCAATAATTTAATTTATTCTTTATAATGAATAGAGTGAAATTTTTATTAGAACCTATTAAAAAAATAGTCTTTTTAAAAATAAAATTTAAAGAATCATTTTATCTTTTTTATAGTTTGCAATACAACCAATTTTAAAATAAACTTACAATTGTTTTAATAGAAGTTAATTTATTCTTACAAGGAAAAAAGAGTAAAATTAAACAATAATTTATATTCTGTTACAATCTAAAATAAAATTACAATTTTTAAAATCAAAGTTAATTCATTTTTATAAAGAAAAGTGAAATTTCAAATCTTATTTTCTTTTCCTTACGACCGATTTTAAAATAAATTTACACTTTTTATTACAACTATTAAATCAAATATAATTTTATTTTTCTTTACACAAATATTATTTCTTTAGTTGCAACCTCTTTTAAAACTGAAATACAATTTTTATTTGTTTGTTTTAATGTCAAAATTTAACTAACTTTATTGATTTGTGTGCACAGCTATTATTTTCTTTTTTAAACAGTGAATTAACCACTGGAAGTCAGAATGGGAATTGCCCTTTTCTAGTCCCTACTAGTTTGGTCACTGCTACATGTGTGTGGAGGGCAGGCAGTATACTTAAATTCAAGCGTGACACCTGTATATATCCCTAGCTCTTACTTTAACTTGACTTATTTGCATAGCATGCCCACGATATATTTTAATGTATTCATTTAGTGGCAGTTTTCATATTGACACTGTAGTGAAAGGTGGAATTCCTGGGAAACAGGCTGCAATCAGGCATCACCATGTGACCAGGTGAAAATAATGAATCCCTTCTGAGAAACAAACAAAAATTCACTGAAATAAAAATCAATAAAAAAAATAAGCACGGTGAAAATGACCCCACCGTGCACTTGAACTCCTAACCTCCTACCCAAAATCGAAGATGGTACCCCTGCCTGAGCCTCTTTGTTAAGATCTGACTGTTCATCTTGTTCAATCATTAAAACCACCTTGAATTGTACATTCATCAGGAGTGGGATTACAAAACAAACAAATGGAACAATATGAATTTAACCAAAACAGTTTCCACAAGTTGCACCTCACCAGAGAGCCTCATGACCTTTAGTCATCTATCCTCTTAGCTCCTGCTCGGATGTGGATCGCTATAGAGGCATATGCATAAATACCATAATAGAAGTAAGATCAAATTTGGTGCATACAAAGTCGTAATTATTGTAGGCAAACCATCAATCGTGTCAAATCCATTGTGGGTGGGCGTTGATATAGAACTCCAAGAATCAAAAGTTGCAATTATCAGGGGTAAGAAGGTCGCAATTACGTGAATAATGTGTTTACTTCGCACATTACTAAAAATTCACAGACATTCAGCAGCCATATCTGGTTCATGTATTGTATCCTTATACTGGCTAGCCTACATTAATCTCGTCTGATGTTCATAGTTCTGAAGTAGGTATAGGTCATATAGTGAAGGTGCTATATAAAGTGGAAGCCATTGTAAGATGTATGCGCATGTATCCTCATCTGTGTGTATTTGTCATTTAATATTTTGAACATCCCTTGCTTAGTATCAATCTGCATGTTAAGCTCAATGATTGATGGCCAATTTGTAGACGGAGTCAGAGATAAGAGCTGCAAGATGTAGATATGTCACGATCTGTTCTCGATTCAACAAGACGGGCCCAACTCTGAATCCTTTTTATGAGAAACAGAGCCCCAGAGGTCTTGACCGAACCTGAATACAGCCGATCAGGTGCCTTTTTACAATAAAATTTAATTAAAGTTTAAAAACAATTTATTAAACACACAAAAAAATAATTAAAACCAATAAATTACCTTTTAAATTTTAAACAAACAATTAAAACTTTTTATAAATTTAAATAAACAGAAATTTCCTACAAAGCGTTTGCCAGACCATTTAGAACAAGGTGGATGTAGTGTACTCACTATTTCCAGTCAATTCGCAGTGGACCGAAGCACTCCATTTTAGGGAATACAACACTTTTGAGGATCGCACACTTCTCTTGTCTCTTATCTACCCGGAATCTTGTTCACCTCTCTGACTCGACTGTCTCTTCCCTATTCTCTTTTATTTTTTTTTACTCTAAGCCTAATCATGGCATCTAAATCATAACATTGTCACTTTGAAATGAATTAAAATGTGACAAAATTTCTCACTCTTAAAGGCCTGGAAAAAACGAGTTTGTTTTCAATCTTAAAACTATTGATAATATTCTCCCCACTGTACATTTGACCCCCTTCAGATCAGAATGATGATCGACCTCTTGCTGTTCGCTGCATCTAAAGTCATGCTCCTCTGAAGTCATGTATGCTCATACAATGTGGGGATGGCTGGTGTATATCCGTGGGTTTCAGAAAATGAGACATAATGTTGTGGATCCGAAAACCATTAAGGTCTTGTCGTAAATCTGGAAAGTCCAAAATTCCGCATCTGGTTCTTATTTCTTCATTCTTGATTAATACTTGAACCATTTTCTGCGATGGTGTGAAGTAGTCTTGAGGCTATGCATCTTTCTTGGTTGATCAAAGGATGTAACTATAAAGTTCAATTTCATTCAAACGTAACCAAGTCCATAATGACTGAATTCTTGCTTTAATTTGGAATTATATGTCTTCTGTTCATTGAAGTAGTGAGTAGGTTTTGATCAAGAGGATAGCATTTGGAGCACGGAAGGGCAGACCTGGCATTGGCTTATACAAAAAATCCTGTTTTATAGCAATTAAAATTAGCTTTCATTATTAAATTTTATAATTGTCAAATTTACTATTTTCTTGTTTCTTTTTTATTTATTCTGTTTTTTAACAATCTAAATGAAGTCAGTTTTTAAGAATGTGATTTTGTACTTATTTTATAAATCAAATTAACAAAAAATGAAACTTTAAAGGGACTAATGTTTGTAACTTTCATTAAACAATAATAAAGGATTAAAATATAGCTTAATTTCTTCTAGGTTGACTATATGCTTTAAGTTGCGTTATGTGTGCCTTTCTTATGTTTTTGACAAAAACGAGCCTTGGTATTTCTTTTGTCATTTTGTAAACATTCTTTCAAATTTTGATGTGTTAATATTTAAACAGTTCATATTGGTAACGGTATTTAGAGGATATACCTACTTGACTGTCTCTTCCCTATTCTCTTTTATTTTTATTTTTTACTCTAAGCCTAATCAAAATCATAACATTGTCACTTTGAAATGAATTGAAATGTAATGTGTCTAATTGCATCACAGCACACTGGAGTGGGTGCAGTTAGATCAGGTGCGTTGCTCTGGATCTGTTCGGCTACTACTTTGGTTATCAGCCAGATGGTCGAATTCTCTAAGGCTGCTTCTTGCTTGAGTACCTGCATTGACTTTCTGGATCACTTGCAAAATCAATGTATTCAAATGTACAACTATGATCTTCCTCAAGACAGACATTGGTCCAGTGTTGACTTTTCTATGCAATAGTATGAATTGGAAGACAAAAGTTGAAATGTAATTGGTCAAGCGGACCACGAAATTAATGAATTTAGTTGAAATGTATATTTCATCGCCTGTGTGGATAGCAATATTATAGGACTGTCTATGGTCCTGAGTGTATCTTTTTCATCGTTCATAATCACGTCTGGTGTTGGACCACTCCCTGATATGTTGTGTTGTCACAGTTGATACATGTCAGTGACTTGCCTGGATGAGAGATCTCTGTTGGATTTGCTGTTTTTGGGATATGTAAAATATCTCTATTCTCACTTCTTCTTATCTCCTTGCTTCTTCTTTGGACAGGATGTCTCCTCCATTTTTATAGAAACACTGGCTTTCTAAAACTGATTTTGTGCATTTTATACCGAATCTCCCTATATATTAAAAAGTATACAACCAGGGGTCCAATTCAAGTTGCAGTTTGATTTCTTTCAATTACCTTAAAATTTTGAATTCATTTCTTTGAAATTAGTTTTAAAAACTCAAACTCAGTGTTCTCAATATTAACAGCATTGAATTTCAATGCAAAATACTTATCCTGAACCCAGTTAAATATTCCTAAATATTAATAATTGCAGCAGAACTGACAACTGTGAGATTTCTCTGTGTGGTCTACAGGGAGATGAGCATGTAATTTAAAAAAAAAAATTAAATTTACAGCACACACCTAATATTTTACACTTTTTCCAGAAAACTTGATTGCCATTGCTTTGCTTTTGCAGTCGTACAATATATTTTAAGATGCTAAATTACATTACAAAAAAGATCGAACAAACTTTTAATTTAGCTTTTTGTTAATTTTTTTTTTTCTGGCTGTTACATGTAAAAATAATCAAAATCAAGATGATTTTAGGCATTGAGTATTTCTTATTGCTGTCAGGTCAGTTAAGTTGTATAAAGCTGCCTATTAAGCTAAAATTCTGATGCCCTTCAATCAAAAACAAAAAAGTTTTAATTTTATCAATAGTTACACACAACATTTATGACGTATGTATATAAAAAATATGGGCTTTGGGGAAAACAATACTAGGATGAAATGAAGTTTACAAAAAGTCAATTTAATCTTGTATTATTTAGAATACAATTGTTAGTTTAATAGTCTCTAAGCTTTTGTAACCAGACGTATGAATAACAAATGTATTTAGTATTTGTACACTAAATTTTATAATAATACTAGTCGAATAAAATGAGTTTTGTTCTTAAAAACAAAAACAAAAAACTTTTTAAAAAAAATTCTAATATTTTCTTTACAATCAGTGTATTTATGCTAGTCATTTTATATATTTTTGCCACAATTCTATAAATTGTATGTATTAATTTATATTTATGTTTTATTAATAATCAGATAATATCGTATTATAATTTATATAACATACAATTAGTTATTTAGTCTTAAGGCATAACTAAGCTGTTGTTTGTTTTTAAATTAATAATTTGTTTTTGCCTGTTTTTTTTATATATATATATTTTTTTTATGTTTAACTAATTAGGGTAGAACAACTTAAAGACATTTGCAAAGCTATAATTTATAATAGCTTTTTATAAAAAAAAAAATATTTTTAACAATAAACACTTGATATTGAAATAATATTTACACAGGGTAAAAAAGCTTAACTACTTGTTTAATTAAGTTAGTATGACAAAAACTACAAATATGTATGTAAACTAATGTATTTTGTTTAATATTATGCTAAATGTAAAATAATAAAATTTTTGTATCATTGAAGTGCAACGTGAAAGTTTCTTCTTAGTTCCTTTTTATTTTTTCTCTGATTATTCACATTTTTCTTTCCAACAGTAAAATGACAAAGGTGACAACTGAAATTACACATGTTACTTAAATTACATTTTATTAGAAAATAATAATATAAATTAGAGCTACTAAAGGAAACTACAAAATAATACTTATTTTGCATTATTTACAATTATATACAAATTGATTTTTTAAGGAAGAATGAGTTAATTTCATTGGTTGAAAAAGATTATTCTGCACTACACGGTGAACCATCAGGATTAGTTTGTGGTTTTGGTTTGCATATTTTTGTCCGGCCATTTGAACCGGAGACAGCGGTGCATGTGAATGTGAAGTAGCCACATGTTGACGATTTTGTATAATAAGTATGCGCGTACTTTTTTGTTTCTGATTGTTTTTGATCATTGTTCTTGATCTGCCCTGTTATACTGTTTGTTACTGTTACAAAACTATCGTAGTTATTTTGTGGGCTGGCTTTAACTAGTCCGTTGTTTGTCGCTACAAATGGGTGTCTGGATGCAACGGGTGGGTAAAATCCAGGAGAAAACTGTTTGTAGCTTTCGACACCTTTTAGCTCTTGTTGTCTTGAACTAGGCGCTGATAGTTTTATGTTACCGGATCCAGGTGAAATGACGACTGTCTGAGTTTGTGCTTGGCCACTGTTGGGTGGTGCGATTGCCTCGGTTTTATCACCAGCCACCGATGTTACTCTTCCCCTAAATCCATTGGGTATTACATAGCCTCCTGTTCCTGGAACTATTGTACCAGAGTGCAATACGTCGCCTTGTTTTAAAGATCCTGAGGTTCCTTGAATGATTAAAGTATCATGTTTATTGTCAGGTTTTAGAATTATTTGTTGTGTTTGTGTTGGAGAAGTCTTTGAAGTATAAACTGGAGCAGGTGTAGTAGTGGTAGTTGTAGTTGTAGTAGTAGTAGTTACTTGGTTGAAACTTGATTTCCTTGATAACACAGAGGGATCTTCATCTTCTTCATCATCATATTCTTCATCTTCATCATAAACATCTTCTGACTCATCTTCTTCAACTGGCAAATTATTTACACTTGATTTGTCTTGGTTTGAATTGATTCCCAATGCTGTCTTTCTATCAGATGGTGAATCGTCAGTCACTGGGGATGATGTTTCTTTTTTAACATTGTGTGGTTGTTTTAAATTGGAAGGAACCAGACCTAAATTTGGATTGTCCGAAACAGAGACCTCTTTTCTGGAATTTGACAATTGGTGAGAAATGTTCAAATTATTATTTTGCAAGCCTGAACTGTTGTAAATTGAACCAGGCAGTGAGAGTTTATTAGGGAATTTCAATCCTGAAACCCCGCCAGACCCGGACTGAGCAGCACCAGTATAAGAAATACCATAGCGGAATGATCCTTGGATCTGGCTCTGTGATTGTCCAGAGGATCCAGAACTTTGTGCTGATGCTGATCCACCTCCTTTGTATGGTGATGTATGACCATCAGTTGATCCGTCATAAGGGAAAAAACCAATTTGAGCTTGACTTGATGTTGATCCTGGGCCTTTGGACTGGGCATCAGCTAAGCCCCCTGCTGAACCAGCCTGAACTTGAGTATTTGTGGCAAAATTTGATCCACTTGTTTGGGACTCTGCCAAAGTAGCTCCTGTTTCTGTACCAACTTGGACTTGAGTTTGAGTTTGACTAGTTCCTGCTCTTCCTTGTGCAGTACTTGTGGCTCCTTTGGCATTTCCTTGAATTTGACTTTGAGCACCTCTTTCATTATCACTTGTTTGAGCTTGTGCACTAAATGTACCAGAACCTGAATAAGTCCCTGATACTTGTGTCTGTGCTACACCAGAACCCAATTTACCTTGAGATGAGGCACTAGCTGTAGTATCATTGCCATCGAAATTAACATTCGTCTGAGCTTGAGTATCACCAGCACTTGGCACAGACAAATCACCGTACCCTCCAGGCTTATAAATATCAGTTGGTTTTCCTGCTCCAGGAAATTCTCCTGGACTTCCTGAATCAGGGTACTCTCCAGGCTTGCCACTTCCCGGATATCCTCCTGCACCTGGATAACCTCCTGGATATCCTTCTGCACCTGGATAACCTCCAGGATATCCTCCTGTACCTGGATAATCTCCAGGTTTCCCAAAACTTGGATATTTTGGTATTTCTGTACCCGGATAACCTTCTGGTCTTCCAGCTCCTGGGTGCTCCCCAGGTCTTCCTGCCTCCGGATAGCCACCTGGTCTTCTTGTACCTTCTCCAGGTTTACCACCACCATGATACCCTCCTGCTCCTGGATAGGCTCCAGGTCCTCCTGTACCTTCTCCAGGCTTACCACCACCCGGATATCCTCCTGGTCCTCCTGCTCCTGGATAGCCTTCAGGTCCTCCTGTACCTTCTCCAGGTCTATGAACACCTGGATATCCTCCTGCACCAGGATACCCTCCTGGTCCTCCTCCTGGATAGGTTCCAGGCCCTCCTGTACCTTCTCCAGGCTTACCACCACCAGGATATCCTCCTGGTCCTCCTGCTCCTGGATAGCCTTCAGGTACTCCTGTACCTTCTCCAGGTTTACGAACACCTGGATATCTTCCTGGTTCTCCTGCACCTGGGTACTCTCCAGGTTTTCCAATACCTGGATATTCTGGTCTTCCAACACTTGGGTATTCTGTTGGCCGTCCTACACCTGGATATCCTTCTGGTCCTACTTCTGGATATGATCCTGGTCTGACTGGGGCTGGATATTCTCCTGGCCTTCCTGCACCTGGATATTCTCCTGGCCTTCCTGCACCTGGATATTCTCCCGGACTTACAACACCTGGGTAATCACCAGGCTTTCCTACACCTGGATATTTTTCTGTTCCTCCTACACCAGGGTACTCTCCAGGTTTTCCAACACCTGGATATCCACTTGGTTTTCCTCCACCTGGATATTCCCCTGATCCTACTGCTCCTGGGTATCCTGCAGGTCTTGCTGAGCCTGGAAGTCCACCTGGTCCACCAATACCAGGATATTCTCCTGGTATTCCTGTATCAGGATATCCCCCTGGCCTCACCTGGCCTGGATATGGTCCAGTGGTTCCAGTCCCTGGGTATTCTCCTGGTCTTCTGCCACTAGGATATTCTCCAGGTCTGCTACTTGTAGGGAGACCGGGTTTATATGTATCTGGTGGTTGATATACAGGTTTTTCGCCAGCTTTACAAACAATGTATGATGGATCGCATGGAGGTAGAGGGTATTTTACTTGTTCTCCAGGGTAAACTGGTTTTGATATTGGGTATTCTCCTGGCCTCCATTTGTCTGGATACCCTGTAGGCCATCCTGGTCTTGTTGTACCTACAGGATAACCATCAGGGATTTTTCCTCCAGGAAGTGTTGGCGTACTACCTTCAGGAGGCCAAGATCCAGGAGGCACACCTGGTCTTACAGCATCAGGGTATTCTCCAGGTTTTCTAACCCCTGGATACTCCCCAGGTCTTCCTACACCTGGATATTCTCCTGGCTTTACTGCACCTGGATATTCTCCTGGCCTTCCAGCACCCGGATATTCTCCCGGCCTTCCTGCACCTGGATATTCTCCTGGCCTCCCTGTACCTGGGTATTCTCCCGGTTTTCCAGCTCCTGGATATTGACCTGGTCTACCTGCACCTGGATATTCTCCTGGCCTACCGGCATCTGGGTACTCTCCTGGCCTAACTGCACCTGGGTATTCTCCAGGTTTTCCAACTCCTGGATATTCTCCTGGTCTTCCTGCAGCCGGAAACTCCCCAGGTTTTCCAGCCCCCGGATATTCCCCCGGCCTTCCAACACCTGGATATTCTCCAATTCCCGGATATTCTCCTGGCCTTCCTGAACCCGGATATTCTCCTGGCCTTCTTGCAACTGGATATTCTCCCGGCCTTCCTGCTCCTGGATACTCTCCTGGCCGTCTGCCACCTGGGTACTCTCCAGGTTTTTCAGCTCCAGGGTATTGGCCTGGTCTAGCAGCACCTGGGTATTCACCTGGTTTTGCAATACCTGGATATTCTCCTGGCCTACCTGCATCTGGATACTCTCCTGGCCTTCCTGCACCTGGATGTTCTCCTGGCCTTCCTGCACCCGGATGTTCTCCCGGCTGTCCTGCACCTGGATATTCTCCCGGCCTTCCTGCACCTGGATATTCTCCTGGCCTTCCTCCAGCTGGATACTCTCCAGGTTTTCCGGTTCCTGGATATTCCCCTGGCCTTCCTGCTCCTGGGTATTCACCAGGTTTTCCACTTCCAGGATATTCTCCTGGCCTTCCTGCACCCGGATATTCTCCAGGTTTTCCAACTCCTGGATATTCTCCGGGCCTTCCTCCAGCTGGGTACTCTCCAGGTTTTCCGGTTCCTGGATATTCCCCAGGCCTTCCTGCTGATGGATATTCCCCTGGTCTTCCTGCACCTGGATATCCTCCTGGTCTTATTAAACTTGGATGTCCAACTGGCCTTACTGCTCCATAGTAGCATTCATCGCAGGCATCTTCACTTCCTGACTGGCTTTGGGCTTGCCCCATTCCCATTACACCACCTGCAGAGTATTACATTTATAATTACATTGATCAAACTCAGTGAAATGTGTATTTCAAAAAATCAGAAATTAATAGCTTTTGAATGGTGGTAAAATTAGTTTCACTAATGTTCTAGTTTTGTTTTTTATCCAGAACAGATTCACCCAACCAGAATTATTGATATTTTGTATGCTGAAGAAAAGACAAGCTGCCTCAAAATTTATAGTTCCATACAAAAAGAAAACTACAAGATCTTTACTTTTTTATTTCTGAATTATTTATTTCTCAACTATTATTATATGTAGTTGCACTCACTGACTGTTGCTCGTGATATGTCTGGGCTGGCTACAGCTTCTGCAGTCCCTGCTTTTTCTTTCTGCCCATTGTTGAAGGCAACGTACTGTGTTTGTGTCTGCCCTCTGTACCTCTTCCTCCCAACAGTTTGCCTTTTAACACGATTGGCACGATCGTATCTCTTTTGTTCGTCCAACTGCAAAAAGATTTCGAGGCCATGGCATAGCACAGACAACCTTTTGGCAGATTCTCCTTTCACCTGTCAAAACTGCCATGTCAGAGGATAATGTCAATATTTGCAAAATCAAATTCCATCCTTACTGTAATGACGTTTCTAAGCAATTCCTCCGAAAAATCTTCACTGCCAGCACTTGATGGTATTCCAGTCAACACGCAGAGTTGCCTCTCTTCATCCCTATAAGCCTTATTTAAAACCAATATAAAATCAAATTATGCCTTTAATACACAAAAGTTCAAAATATATTTTCTTGTTTTCCCTAATATCTTAACAAGTGGTAAGATAATAATAAAGATAATATGTTAATAGTAACACTGGTTAATCCATCCAAGGGATTTGATCCAGATTTGATTTTACAAAAAAATTCAAATAAAAAACTAAATTCTTGCTTTCTGTCTGCAATTTTTATAAAAGTAAGTTGTAGTTTAGTAGCTTTAGGTCCAGTTGTCAGGTGTTATCAATGTGCAATACTATACCGTATAAATTTTAAATATTTGCTGTGTTTTATTTTTATTATTTTTTTAATACAATAAATGTTGAAAGCTTTATTACCGTCTATTACCTCAATATTGTAAAGGCTCCTTCCTTTTTCCAATATGGAGAACCTGTATTTGAGCGACTCCTGGAAAATAAAGGCAAAAAATTATTATGAAATATCGTAATAAATTAAATTTTAAAAATAAATGTGGGTCATTGCCAATTTGATTAAATATGGTGGCCGCTTTTAAAGAAAAAGGTTATAAAAGGTCAAATGACCCTAATCTCAAACTATCCTCATATCGGTTGTCTTTGATTCTAGAGGAATTGCTGAGAAGGTTTATTTTAAAAGAAACAATAAAAACCAATCAATTTACAGATTTTTGTCAAAGTAGGTCTTCAGATAAAGTGGATATCAAATTAAATTTATTTTATTTTTAATGAAATATCTACTTTCTTCTTGTTTTTTTTTGTTTTTTGTTTTTTAGATTGATAAATTTTCATGTGTCAAGTTTCCTCTTATTTGTGTAGGATTTTAATATATGTACCATCAAATGCCACAGTTTATGCATTTTGGCATTTTATATTATGCAAACACAATTTAAAAAAAATAGTTACTATGCAAATTTAATATTTACCAAATGTCTAAATTTTAAAATAGCTATCCTGAATTTTTTGGCTTAACCAGTCATTATACTCAACTTAATATTTAATCAAGCACTGTTATAAGCAATCTTAAACTCAAATCCAACTATAAATTAATTGATCAGTGAATTCAACCGACACTGGGTTCACTTTCTGGAGTAATGCTCACTGAAGGTGGTGCAAAAACGAAAAAACTTAAGTACCCAGTACCAAATCTACATGTATAAATTAATTCATTTTTTAACTGATCGAATATACAATTTTGTTATAGTGTTAATTATAGATTAATTTGTTTATAATATAATTGGGAAAATGATAGGGAAACAACCGCATCACTGTTTGTATGTATTCAGAAAATGTATGTTTTGATTTAACGTTAATAAATGAATTAACTGTTAATCAGCTTATAAAGAGATTTTAAAGAGGCTTTATGGAAAAAAAACTGTCCAAATTATGCACTAGAACTAAAAAATTTGAAAAAACTGTCCAAATAATGTGGTATAACAGTTAAAAAGTGAAAAAAAAAACATTCCAAGAATGCATTAGAACCACTTAAAATTTGTAAAAGCTTATATGTATCCCCATGTATTAACGTACAATTCGATATTAACTTTAATATATTTTTTTAAATATACAATATATAAATTTTAATTATCGTTCATCACAGTAGAAAAAGTTCGCAACTTTCAACTACTCGGGTTATGCAAAACCGCTTTACCGAAACGCTGTGATGGTTTAATCTACATTATTTTCTTGACGCCTTAAACGCACACATAATACGTACATGTATACATTTATATATCAATATATGCTTATAACAAATGAAAGAAGAGATTTTTACAAAACCTAACATTTCTTATCCCTACAAAACTGATTAATTGACACTTTCAGCATATAGTTCAGTTCTTTCGACGACTTCTTATATCAGAAGAAAAAAATTTTCATGTTTGACATAATTCTATTTTTTTAATAATAGCTGATAGGATTTTTATTGTAAAAAAAATATGGTAAAGAAGAGACTTAAAGTAATTTAGAGCAAAATCTCTCTTTATAAAATTTATGTGCAACGTTAAATTTAACAAAACACGTATGTTACAGATTATAAATTATTTGAATTTTATTATAAACGATTCTTTTTTGACACCATCAATTTGTACACTTCAACCAAAATTTAATTAAAAACCGTTAAACGCAAGGAATAAAAATTGACGGAATCCACGTCGGTTTTCGGCCTATATAATTCCTAAAATTGGATTTTTAGAAAATTTTAATGTTAATGCTTTATTGTTCGATGTTTTAAGTCATACGCACCGTACTGTTTAATAAGACGAAGGACAAAACGAGCAGGAGATTCTTCATTTCCGCTGTGATGCCTACAGCGGGCGAACCATGAATGAGTTGATCCTTTTGGTTTTTGACCCAGATCCATCTCCCTCCATCGCGACCATTTTCCATCCCCATACGGAGTTACGTCACCCTCTTTGTTTCGATCTTTATCTGAGAAGAGCGATAAACGCCTCTTCAGATGTGCCAGATGTATAGAATCGGGCCATTAACAGAACCCGATATGTATAGGGTTTTCTAGGATTTCGTTTATGCGGTTGATAGCAATAAGAATTGGGGTTGGTTGGGGGATGGGGGATGGGTTAATCATAAGCACACGCATAAACGTTGACAGGAAAGGGTAGTTTTTCTATCATTCTTATGTTAACGTCTATAGGAGTTTTGTTCCTTAGGCGTAAAGAGTGATCGTATTTTTTTTTTCCCAAGGATAATCATTTAAAAAGTCTATCTCTTGCAGCACAAGAAGCTGTTGGAATTTTACAAAATAAAAATTGGATATTAATAAGCATTTACGCTCGAGAAAAAACTACTTTATTACAACTGAATGAATTTTAAGATCGAGTTTAATTTCAAAATATATATAAACTTGAAAAAAAATAATGAATGCAAACAATCTCTTGGGAAGAAGCCATCATTGACATATACATGAACGACAGGTGTAGTGAAGGTTGCCGAAGTCAAAAAAAGGTAAAAAAGAATGCGAAACGGTCTCTCTCTCTCTCTCTCTCTCTCTCTCTCTCTCTCTCTCTCTCTCTCTCTCTCTCTCTCTCCTCAATCAATCTATCACTTTTGCAGTTCAGGTCCAAGGATGTGAGTGGATGCAACGGTTTAGGAGTTGACACGGCGCTCATCAATGTAGGGTAAAGGTCCAGGGTTCGAATCCAGCGGCCCTCAAAAAATCCCCTAGTGCCGTGGTACTCATATCAGAGTTGTTTGCAAGCTGTTAGGCTATCAATCAGTCAAGCAAACATTTAAAAAAAGTTATCAAAATTAATCATTTACAATTACGACCTCATAATGCGACACCGTTAGGTGTATTTTAGGGAAGAGTTTTAAGCCCCTTGTTTTTCTTGCTCTGCGTCATCGCGTACAAAAATGCCGTTTCTGTTTCAATTTTCTGGAAATTGTAAAACTTCACTTTTTGGAACGTTTTGCCTTTTCTACAGCTCCTATTTGTCGAGTGGTAGACATTGTAAAGAAATTCCTATCATAAACATATATAGGAGGTCTTGACGTCCAACGAGCCGTTGTTTGCCGCGGAGAGGGGTCAGAACCACTTTACAATTCCATAAGCTGTGCCAGTATTCGAACGCAGAACTGCTTGCTGGCAAATATGAGTCGGACACCTTAACCACTTTTAAAGCAGTTCTCAATAGATTTTCTAAAAAATTTCCGACTTCTAATGGTTTCTGTACAATATTCAGACAGACGATTTTACGTCAATTTTGTAATAAAATCTAAGTTCCTATGAAATTTTACATCACAATAAGAAAGCTCATCGTGGATTTTGTTTTGTGTAAGTTCAATAATTTAAAAAAGTCTGTTCTACTCCTTGAGCTGTAAGATCATACGCAAGATATGTAAGATCATTATCATTATAGATGAACTCAAAAATAGATATCGACGGTTTTCCTAAGCTTTTTTTAACTTTATCGTCTTACTTACGAAGTTAAGCTGAAATTGAAAGCACTAAATACTTACGACCTATCTCATGGAAACGTTTTAAGCACTTTTACCTGTTCTATACTCCCGTTTTTCTCACGTCATTCTTGACTAATGTGGCTGTTTGATCACGAACTAACGATTCAATATCGGATCCTAAAATCACCTATCGGAGCTACCGATTACGTTTTCCCTGCAGCTGAAAGTATGTTAAGCATTCCCACTCCAGCATTGATAGAACAGTTTAAAGCCTTAAGAGTACTACTGCATGGATCCCAGCTTGGAAAATTGATGATGTGGGGCCTAACGGCTTCGCTAGGTCTGACTACTGCTGCCACTCCATGTTCCATTTTAGATCAGTGTCAGGGTGTGGGGGAGCCACACGATAATTATATGTAATATTTACACTATTTACACCCCCGTTTCCCTTAAAAATCGAAACGAAGACCCGACAACCCACCCTTGTGCCCAAGGATTGCCTTTATTTCGGGTGCCGTACCTACTCGCTCCCTGAAAAGGACTGAAAATGATATCCTTCAATTATGTGGTGCAACTGAGCAACATTTCTCTAAAAACGGGACTGCACGGGTTTTGACCCAAAAGGTGTCCGTTGTCAGACGGGTATGGCCGATTCCTTCCTCGGTGAGCCGTTGCTCAGACGTTCTCTTGACACGCAAGAACTTCTCGTACGATTTTATTTATGTCCTTGAAGTCTGCACTTTCGTGTCATCCTTTCTATTTAAAGTGATGTTTTTTCAATATCTAATGTTTTTCAACAAGATGCGGTTCAATAGCGAAATTAGAAACTATGATAGTGAGGAATAATAAACCCTTCTACCCGTTTCTACCTTATAAGAAAAGTCCAAGAAAGCTTCTAATAAAACAATACTGGCTACAGACCAGCAGATGACCATCTCAGCTGTTCCATGGTACACAGGGATAAGGTCTTCACCTTGGAGAAATATAAGCATCAACTTCTTTCTGCTGTACAACATCGCCGTCATCTTTTATCCAAATCTACTCAATCTACGTAACTTAAAAAGACCCAATTTGTAAACATCAAAGGTTTTTGCGAGTGAGAACATTCAGATACGTGTCATTTATGTTGTCTATCTATATTGTCTAGTCCTTAAAAGTTGAATACATTTTTAAATTCTAAAGGTTATTCTTCAATTTTAATAGGAAAACTAAACTTAGTTCGTTGAAAAATTGAAACCTAACAGGCAATGAAAGAGAAACAATTTTTAATCGCACGTCAGTTTTGAATTTTAAAAACAATTAGGTTTAAATTAGAAGCAAGTCCTGGGAATATATTAAGCAAGAGCATGCCAGTCATAACCGGCCAAATAGAATAATGATTTTTTTCTCTCTCCCGTCGCTGTGCAATTCATAACTAAGGAGGAGGAAATGACACATTTAGCCTTACTTAATGTAAGCTGCACTGGGGCTCTTTCATTTTGGAACGTTATTTATTGCACCACTGGCATATGTCAGTGTTATCATAGGCTTCCCTTTTCGCTCTGTTAATTGATGCCTATTAATAACACGCTCTTATTCTGTCGCCGGCTAAATGTTTATGGCTTGCTCTAGTTGAACTTTTATTGGGGTAGAATGTTGACCAGTCGCTAAATGGAAAAATGTGTAAATCCAGTTTCTTTTTGTTTATTGGTTAGAACGATCGAATCGCCGCCATTGTCTTCCAAAGTTTAAATTCCTTCCAAACGATTAGTTATATTTACAACTATTAAGATTTTGAAATCATAAAGTCAATTGGAGAATCGTATTTTGCCACTAAAATGAAACAAATACAAATTCAGTAAATGGCTCTTTCATCATATATTATACAAGTTGTTTGATCTCTTGTAGTGCTACTCTTTGTTTTCTCCTAGTCCTAAAAAATATAAAAAGAAATGAGATGGCTATAAAATGAAATAATAAGAAAATTCTGAGACCTTCCAAATAAACACAAAATGATGTTCGGAAAATCAAAATTCTGAAACTGATCTAAAATGGAACACCGATTGGAACCAGACATAGAGAAACCTTTAAGCTTTCTTCATTTTCCAAGGTGCACATGAGAAATAGTTTAAAAAGGCTTAAAAGGTGCATAGATATAAACATTCTTAGACAGCTGAGCATCCCTGATGGCCTTAAACTTCTCCACATTCGTTTTAAAGCTGGCCTGGGAATCTTCAGCTCCAGGAAAAACAACCAGGTAACTCTGATGCATGTACCAGTACAAAAGGGATTTAAAGAAACAGACAGGATGACAACTAGCAAAGGCAGGGAAAAGCCCTCACACCCTTTGAACCTGAACTGCAAATTGGAACACTCCAAAGCAAACTACGAGCAAAACGTAACAAATAGATGGAAAAAGAAATGCCCACACACTGAATGAACTCACCATCCTGGCATATGTAACTTAGAATTGTTTTTTTGTATATTTTAACTAGCACTCTTAGAAAACTAATGGTCGATAGCTCAATATTTTTCAATGAAAGATTAGTTTTGACGTCCTTCCTACACTAGCCGAGTAAATAAATTACACTAAATATCTAGGACTAAAGCATTTTTGGGGAGATTTGTAGCCTTAAATTAGGAATTTCTTCTAGTTCAGGAATTTTTTGTTTTCTGTCGAGTCAAAAATGGTCTTTATTTCTTTAGGCATCATCAGTTTTTATTGCCCCTATATTTTTATGGTGGACATAAAAGTTGGAACTGTTGTGTTGAATATCAGTGTGTTATTGTCATCCCTGGTGAAAAAATGGGTTGTGTTAACTCTTTTATACATAACCCTTGCCAAATTAAATCTCTAAATTATTTAATTTTCATTATTCTGTAGTGACGGGTAACGAAAATTATGTAAATGTGTACTGTCTGAGTTGTATGTTTTTACGAGTATGCTGAAGTAATCGTGAACTGTGTCTTCATACCACTTTTAAATTCTTCTTGCATATACCATTTTCTACTTGAAATAAAAATGCTTTTTATTAAATTGGTATCTGAAAAAATAGTCTTGACTTGGATGTTCTAGGTTGGCCGTAAGCGTAATTAAATTTACTGATAAATAAGAATAAATAAAAGGTTAAAAAAACTTAATAGTTGTTATATATTTATTTAAATATATAATTATTACAGTATAAATCAGTCACAGCCTATTGACATCAACATTATAGGTCAATATAAAAATACACTAATTCAGTCATGTTCCATTCCTTAGCATTCGTTCAGACTCATATTTATCTTTTTTCCTCTTTTTCCTCCTTGCTTTGCTCTTTCTGAATTCTTTAGAGTGACTCCTTCTTTCTGTCGTTCTACTTTTTTCTCTTAGTCTACTTCTTTCACTATGCCTACTGTTTTTCTTGTCTTGAGACCGACTCCGCCTTTCATGAGATCTGTTCCGTTTATTATTGTGTCTATCTCTGTTGTAATCGTCAGAATCAGAAGAATCGGACCATTTCCATTCCTTTTCCTTAGCAGCTTTCTTCGAGTCGTCAATAAATGTGTACTCACCATGTGGATTACGAAAAACATGCAGAAAATTACATACTCGTCCTTTTGGGCACGCTTTTCTAAACTGGAGGCCACATATCGCCCTGTTCCAATTTGGTATGTTTACAAATTCCACTGAAATCCTTTTCCCAGCATAATATCTTCCATTTAAACCCCTGAATGCTGACATGGCAGATCTTTCTTCTCGAAACTGAACATAAACATTTCCCCTCAGATGTGGTTCCTCATTTGAGCACACTTTTAACACATCAATTTTTCCAAACTTTAAAAATTCATCTTTTATATCATCATAAAAGTCACGGAAGTGCTTATATTGCTCATGGGTGTCATACTCTAATGAAATATCAGTGTCATATTCAGCTTGATTACTACTTGACAGGGAAAAGTGAGAATAAAAACCTGGCATTAGAATGCACTTACTTATTCCAGGTCTGACATGATTTCTTGAACAGCTAGTTTTAAATCTACAAGCACCCACTTTTTGAAAAAAAGGGCAAATTTCTTTTCCAGGTTGAGTCTCCGTAGACACGTTGAGTTCAGACGGTAATTCCCTCAATTCTCCACTTATGAACAAATCCATTTCAGCCAAAATTCTGTCCATTTCTTCTTTTTTCCTTTCCTCTTCTAATTTCCTCTTTTCCTCTTCTTTTAACTTTTGCTTTTGTTCCTTTTCCCATTCTTCACGAATGAGAGCTTGCTGTTTTTCCCTGACTTCAGCCTCCTGTTTAGCAAGTTCTTGTTTTTGCCTCCACCTTTCTTGAGCCAATCTTTCTTCAGCTTCCCACTTTAATTTTGCCTCATTGGCCACCCTTTCTTCCTCTTCCTTCGCAAATTTGTCCAATAGTTGTTGTTCATAAAGCCAAGTCTGATATTGTGGACAGCTTTTCAACATTTTCTCCTCCTCTCTCAGTTTTTCGTCCCTTTCGATTGCGCATTTTTTTCTTATTCTCTTTCTCCTAAATTTCTTTGCAATTTTCCTCCATTCTTTGTGATGACCCATCAAAACTGAAACCATAAAAAATAATTCATAACGTTTAACAAACAAAAATTATAATAATAATGAAATAAAATAATAATAAGTTTTTTGTTTTAATAAGTTGAGATGACTTGGTGTTGCAGGGGTACCAAAGTCGCAATAGCTCAAGCAGTTAGAGCAGCGGTGTATCGAGTCAACGGTCGGGGTTTGTGACCCATGTGAGACTAATCAATTCATTTCAATCACACTTTACATAAAAATTAGGAATCACTTTGAATAACTACTCTTTCATCAGCTAAGACCAATTAAAACATATTAATATAACTACTGAAGGACCTGTTGGACTTCACTAACATCTCCCCGCAACCACTTCAAGTTCATCAAGGATTCAAATGATTAAACATAATTTGAATATAAGGCAAAAGAAGGTAATTTGAAAAAGTTGTAGGTTGAGATGATGAGTTGGTGTCAAGGGGGTACCAAAGTTATGATGGCTCAAGTGGTTAGAGCAGTGGCATATTGAGCCGAAGGTTATGACACTAATCCTTTCTTCTTAACCACACTTTACATAAAAATGATAAATTACTTAAAAAGTAAAAGTGGACTACACACTGCATATAATATTGAACTGCAATAAAATAAGAAATATATTTGACTTCTTGAAATCGTTCATAATTAAAATTCATCTTTTTGCATCTATATTCTATTTGACTTTCTAAAAATAATTTTTTTTTGTGTACAAAACCAACCTATTGTTAATAAAACATTTTCATTGATGTTATAATTCATTATCTGTTAAAAAAAATTAGGTTATTTAAGTCGGACTTCTGGACTTCTCAAGGAAATGAATAATGGATGCTCTTCCATTTCAAAGATCATACTGTAGACACCTTAAAGCTTTTTACCAAGACTCCAGAGTGACTCCCAGGAGGAAAATCATCTCAGCCTACATAAGCTAGCTGAAGACTAAGCATTAAGCATCCTTTTACTGGTCACAAACGGTCAAAATTTACCTTGCAGGCTTACAGAGAGAAAAAAAACGTACTCAGAAAGCAGGAATTTAGACTCAAATGACTTAAAGAAAAAAAAAGGAATTAATGAACATGGCATTCAGCAAACATGCAAAGACCCTCATACATCTGTATTATAGTAATACAGATTATAAGATAATAGATCATACAGTACAAATTAAAATGCATCCTTCCAAATACCTTATACCTAATCCTTTGCTTACACCTAACAGAACATTTCTTCTGAGTTCACAAAGGATCGGATGTCTTCAAATAATGCCCTCCTGGTGAGAGGGTGCCACAAGGCAGTGTGTTTGGATCAATCTTGTACCTCAGATATCCTGACTACAACTTCCATTCTCCTAACTTTTTTCTGATATCCTTTGATCCTAATCCAGCAATTGCTTCAGAGAAACTTCAGGCGAATAGCTGAATGGAGCTAATTCTGGTGCCTTAAGATAAATGGAAGCAAATGTCCTCTGAAAAAAAACACCATTCTACAGTATTACTTAATAATACTCCTGTTTCTAAAAATTCCTTAGGTTCTATCTCAACTCATATCTAACCTGGAATTTAGACACTTAGGACTACTGGATTCGTCATAAGATTACTTCAGCAACTTCACTGAATTATACTTGACAATGATAACTATTAGGATAAAATTGGACTTTTGCTTATTAGATCTTAGACCTCTTTCAGATGAAGTGATTTGACAGATTCAACTAAGTTGTCTGGTTGACTAAAATAGTCAATACTCCTTGGTCACATCAATGAGACAAGAACTGACAGAACCTGCTGATGGATAGAGCCAATGCTAACAAGGAGAAAAGTGCAGGCCTCCATGTACCACAAAAAAGCAGAAGCAGTGGTGGCAAGAGGATGTCGCCAGGAGGAATATTGGACCACTGCAATGGAATGTGGTCTTGGATGAAGTAGGTAAGTAAACTAAATGAAAGCAGAATCTTGCCCAGGGAAATGCAGATGACAGTGTTATACTAGTCAGGGGGAAATTCACCTAAGACCTCACCCACTGAACATTAAGCATGGTAGAGCAATGGTGCTCACAACGGGGGCCTTAAAGCAAACCCCTCAAAAACTATATTAATTGCATTTACCAAGAAAAGAAACAAAGAAATACAAGGTCTGTGCTAGCACAATGAAATGATACAGTTAAAAAATGAGGTTAAATGCCTAGGAATTATCTTTAATAAGAAATTAACCTGGCACCTTCATCAGCACATCAAAACAAAAAGTAAAATATCATTATATACCGATTAGGTAAGTACATCTCAGTCCTTCAAGCTGAAATAATCATGGCATCAATTGTTGTGCCTTAGAAAATTTTAAAAGGGCTACACTGACAAAAAAATCACATCAAAATTTGTCAGTGAATACATCCAAAATTTCCAAAACCTGGGAAATCACAACCTGACATGTTAGGTACCAGGGCACTAGGGAATTTTCAAAAAGGAAGACACTGACAATATACATGCCCTGAACCTATTTGTGGGAAAACAAAAACAAACACTGAATCCTCCATCACAGAAGGGATCCAAAAAGGACAAAAGAAGTAAATAAACTGTAGAGGTGCTATACTCAGTAAAATTATGCTCGAACAACCCTCACCAACACTAGCAAACTCACTGCTAAGCTAGAGAGGGGTAAACTCGTCGGAGTGATACTACTTATCGCTGGCATCCAAGAAAACATCTACATAACATGGGTATATTCAATGACTTTTTTTTTTTTAACAATGGATACCAGGGACTGGAGGAATTCCCTCCTGAGCTCTGCAGCTGAGCTGTACAGCTTATTGTACTTTATCCCTGGATCCACATTTTTGGGGGAGTGCTCGCAACACAAATGTGAACTTGAGCCCCCGTGAGAAATTCATTTTTGAAGGGGGTTGGGACCAAATTCAGGGTTGCTGAGATCCGATCCCGCCCCTTCCATTGATGAGTGCCATGTCAATTTCTTTCAATTGCGGCCACCGGTCCCCTTAGGCGTCAGAAAAAGTCCAAAGGCGACAGTGGGGATCAAAGTCTGACGTCTTAACCACTCGGCTACCGCAGCCCCTCAATGATGACCCTACTAATTAGTGTAACCATTTAACAATTTGTTGGTTAATCAAATAGGAAAAACTAGCCACTGTTAACTGTACAATGGAGACATAAGTGGAAACAAAGAAAACCCAAGGAAAGTAAGTATAGCAATGACAGTCAATGACCTAGTACTTGTGAGGAGAAGAATCGTGTTGATTGTATTGAACTAAGTAACTAGGAAAAGTACAAGCCAAAAGACTGCTGTAATTGGAGAATAAAAACCCCCACTTCCTAGTATCTATCATCTCAACTTGTAGACTGCCATGTGAAGGCTTTTCTTGGCCGGTTTCACACCAGGCAACTTTTGGAATCAATTACTCTTCTCAACGGAAGTCAGTACAATGGTAGAACCAAAGGAAGCATCTGCAAGAAGAGAAGTAAAATAATGAAACCCAGTTGAATAAAAGTATGGGTTCATCCACTGTTAAAAAACTGAGACCCAGGTGCTTTCTCACAACTACTACTGTGCCACTTCACGCCAAGCATCACTCCTTTTTATTTTGTTGCTATTCCCCTTACACCCCCCTTTCGTATACTGCGGGACTATTACGAATTTTTTCAGCACTGAAACATGCAATTTCAATGCTTTCTATGATGAATTCAGTTCACTCAACAGGCTGAGTTGTCAAACTGTGGGGATGTGAATTGTAAAAAGCATGCCTGCTGGCCATCTGCCTGGGTGAACTAGTTAACTGATGAAGAGGTTCCAAATCATCTGCTAAATGGCTACACTCCTTCAACTATTCAAATCAACTAACCAACTTCTAGAAAGAGGTCTTAAATATAACAGGTATATGGATCTAATAAGCAAGATGATTTAAACTATTAACGTAAAATCTATCATTTTTCAACAGTTGTAACCTCTTAATTTAGTATTTTACCAATGTGGTTGTTTTTTGTTTATTTTTATCCAAAATAATTTTAATTACATTAAGCATAGAAATAATTGCTATCAACAAACCTCACAGTCTAACAAACTTACTTAATACATCAATAAGCTGTCTCTTAAATAAACTCTGATGAATATCATTAAAACTGTAACTATTTACATTAGTAGTCAAGTATTCAAAGTACATTCAAAATCAAAATATTGTTGATAAGAGTAGATAACAAACAGCAACAGACCGTTCAAAGCAATTGCTTTGCTGCGACACCTAGCAGTTCTTCATGGGACAATCTCGCTCCCGCTTTACTCAACTAAATTCAAATAAAAGTTATGTTTTCGTAATAAAATGCACAGTTACAACTTAATTTTATATTTTTAATGTAAAGATTAATAATAAACACACTGTCAATGTATTCTTGTAAAATTATTACATACTGCTAAATAAAATATATATGTGAACGTTTATGCATAGGTTAGAAGGTTCAAGCAATATTCAATGATTATTGTTCACTATATTTTTATTTACTACCAAATTTTCAATATTTATTTGTACTTTGCAACCCAACCCGATTTACTTTTGATTGACTATGGACTTCATTAGTGCCCTGCATGGAGGCCCTGACAGAAGTCAGCGACACTAATGACCTGACCCTGGCATGGGTCCCTGGACATTCGGTGCATAGAGGCAACGAAAAGGTTGACATGTTGTCCAATAATGGAACCAACATGGACTCTCCGGGCCCAGAACTACTATGGCCTAGCAGCCTGCCATAAAAGAGGATTCATCTTAAAATGGATCCTAATTAGTCCAAAACCTGGTGGAACAATACCACAGGTATGAGGCACGCGAAGAGATTCATAGAAGGACCATCCGCAAAATTTACAAAAGAATTACTGGAAGGCAACCGCAAACGAACCAGGATTCTGGTTGGACTCCTGACATGGCACTCCTTCTAAGAAAGCACATGCACTGGATAGGGGTACAGGCAGAAGAAACACTGTGCAGATACTGCCAGGAAGAGGAGGACACCGCAGCACACATTTTATGTTTCTGTGAGGGTATATGTAGATGCAGGTTCTTGCAACTAGGTCAAGAAAAACCACAAGCATGATCCTACACCAAGGAGCCGTTGGCAAAGATGAGGAGGTTGGTTAATAACCTAAAGCTGGCCAGTGAGTTATAAATAACAGAGAAGCACAATAGATCTATTCAGGTCGACGTGCAGTAGGCCTTGAGGCCGCCTCTTTTATCCCTATCCCCTACCCCTATCCCTACTATTGCCCTATCCATCAGGAACTTAATTAGGTACCATAAATCCAATTTCTTGTTACGAAGTTTAAAGGTTTAGACTTGGCAAAGTTGTTTAAAAAAAGCCTCGGCTTTTAAAAAGGTCAAAAACATCACTGAACTGGCTTTTACACTGAAATACTGAACTGGCTGTATACACCTAAATAGCGAGTTGGTCTATTATTGGAAATCGTTGTTAACTGTGTTTATTTGTTAATTTTTTTTTTTATAGGCTCAATTTTGTTCATTATGCACTCGAGAACGCATATGGGGAGACCGAACTTATGACTTCTCGCGAGAATCACCTATCTCATTGTCTTGGTGGTATCCATCAACTGCCCAAGTTAGGCCCAAGGGACTATTGAGATAAGGTCATTTCATTCCCCGCTCACTCATTCTTAAATAAATATATTCTTTCTTATTTACATACCTTTCACTCAAGTATGGCGATGGTTACTATTCCTAGAGTTCTAGCCAAGACGTCGTGCAGGACAGGTGTCCCCGTCCAGAGCTTTCTTCTTGAAGCGGTTAGGGAGTAACTCGCAATGGGACTGAAAGGGCAATATAAAAAGTTGTCAACAGCTTTACCGAAGCGTACAATCGATCGCTGGAATAACAGAAATGGCCTATGACACGGTCCCAAGAACTTACGTAAACATACAGCACAGAAAGAAAACTTACAGCTCTAGGAAGAACAGTGGAGAACTGGAGAAAAAAATGGAGACAAAAGACAAACATTTTTCCCAACTGTAACTTCCAGATTGAAACCGCGATTCAAAATAACACAAGCACTAAGTGGCCATAGCAACAACAAGGCCTATCTGCACTACTTCAACCTGGTGATCCTTCATGCACCTGCGGCGCACTCATTCAGCACTGGAACCATCTAATATTTGTCTGCCCAAAGTATGAAGACATCTGAAGAAAAATGGAAAGGGATCTTCCCCTCCAGGTACCTCATGCCTGTTCCAACCAACCTGCTATTGTCGCTGTCGTTCTTTACATACTTCAAAGAGTTCATTAAGTGGACTTAAATCATTAAAACCAGTTAGTGTAATTAAAGAAAAAATCTTGTTTACTTGAGACTTCTCTAGCGTAAATAAAAAATAAACTCCTCATGTGCAGGGCTTTCTACACTTGGGGCGAAATAAAACATACATTACCTAGTCTAACTGAGGAGCCGTTGGTACTTGACATTCCGCGATGGATTCTCTTGTACTACACTCACATTCACATTTAAATACTCACGAAACAGTTAAAACATCTATATCACCAAACTATATATACAATAATAAGATAACCTGTAATAAACTAAAGATCTACATACACAGAATTACCCCAGTTCCATCCAGAAATAGGGAACCCAATGATTCGCTGTCTTTCTCGAGCACAATTCTCATGTCTGGTGGCATCCTACTAGCTCTCTATATGGAGCCAATGACACCCTTCAATTAAGTGGGACTGTGTTTGTTGTTCTAGAGTTTGCTGAAATTTTGTTAAGAAGAGGATGAAATCTCAGAAACGAAAAATGAAAACAGAAATGGGCATAAAACCACTACCATTGAATTCCGGATGTAATATATAACCCCTTTAACATTATTTTTATCCACCGTTCATTACTACAATGCACCCATTGTAGATCATTTATAACAGTCCGGGTTGTGTAAAGTTTATAAAGTATAGTTTCAAAGTATGCTAGTATATTGTCAAGGTTTCTTCTATTTCCTTGCAGAATTTTGTTGACCATTGAATACCCATTGAATCTGCAATGTCTTGCCAAAAAATCTGTAACTCTGATGTTTAGAATTTCTGCAAGGAGATTCTTGAATTGGCTGTGCCCAGTAA